GAATGTACAACTGAGTTAGCTTACAAGGAATGCCGTCACCAAGAAACAGAATCCCCAAATTAGGCACCTGGCAGATACCCTGTTAAACCGCAAAGATAGAAATCTCACTTGAAAGATCTAGACTGTTTTGGGGTGTTGAAACTATATTTCTACTCTACTTCCAAAAGTAGCTTCTATGCTTTCAGTCAACCTGGGAGTTCAAGATTCTCGGAAAATACATACTGCTGTGGACTTCTGGAATTTTCCAGTCATCTTTATTACAATGGGTATGAACTGCTGATGTGGTCTTTCAAGACCACACAGGTATCTCCTATGCAAATAAACTAGTTACCAATTAATTATTTCCTATAGTGCTTTCAAATCAATGAAAATAAAATCACCATGAAAATTCAGAAAACAAAGCTCCCTTTCCTCACACACCTGATGCTGTGGTCAACACTGGTCCTTTAACCTGAAGGCCAGCAGCTCTCATGCATCAGGGGCACTGCTGACATTTTTTATGAGAATATCTCCTGCACAGCAAGCCAGTAGCATCCAGCTCCACCCATTTAACACCCTCAGCCATGGTGACAAGCAAAAATTCTCTAAACTTTAAACAGAGAGTCAAACACTGTAGAAACCTTTTAAGATCCCTCACATCTCTAAATGCCCGATTCAAGAGGGAGGGTACTACTGGTAGCTGAAAACCACTAATAAGTGCTTTAATGCTCTATGAACAGTGATACACTCCTCACCTGAGCTAGGTAAAGGGGACACCAAGAGGAATAAGACACAGCCCCTGTCCTTGGTCTAGTGATTGTCTTACCTCATTTCTATCAATAACAATATACTAGAACACTGAAAGGAACAGTAAAAAAAAAAAAAAAAAAAAAAGAGTGTATCTGAAATGGGCCACATTTCTGCAACAAAGTACGAAAAATTCCAATTGGCTTACATATTCAAATGTATTTTGAATGAGCATAGTTCAGAAGGGTGGTGGGCAAGATGGTGTGGAAAAAAGAACCAGAGCTTTAGAGTCAGAGAAACCGAGGTTCAAATCTCACCCCTGAAACTTATTACTCTCATGATTTGGGGTAAATCATTCTCTACTGGGAGTGGTATCCTACCGCCCATCCACCTGGGTGGAGGTGTTTGGATTATCCCAGTTACTAGAGGATGCTACTGGCAATTAGTGGGCGGGGTCATGGATGCGAAATGTCCTGCAAAGGACAGCAGAGTCCAGTTCAACCAAGAATTGTTCCACCCAAGATGCCAACAGTGTTCACCATTAAGAACTCTCCACCCTCAGTTTCCTCAATTGTCAGAATAGCGATCAGCATACCAATCTTCAAGTCTAAGGGTGAGGTTTAAATGAGATGCTGCAAGTAAAAGTACCTAGCCCAGCAACACATGCACAATCAGCCCTTGATAAATGCTGATCTCACCTTACTATCCCGTCTTGAGGTAAAATGTCATACAGAGCTCCTTTTAAACAGGTCCATCGTGTGTGATAGAGCAAAGAAACAAAAGTGAGCATTTTCTCAAAGCGGAGAACATTAATAGGCAGGCATCCTCCAAATTTCACATTCTAGCAGCGTCTAACAGGTTTTCACAAAAGTACTCTAAACTTTAAATCGAGAGCCAAATACTGTCTAGAGACCTTTGTGACCTAGCTCCAATCTTTCTTACTGCCTCTTTCACTCTGTCCCACTAATGTATATAGTCCCCAGTAGATCATAACCCCCTATAGGCCTTTGCTCAGCGTAGAATACCTGTTCCCCATTTCCATCTTCCTGGCTAAGTTCTCTCCTAAAACACTACCGATGTCTTGAAGAACCAGGTAAAACTCCCTCGACCGTGAAGCCCTCCCTGCTGTCCCCTACCACTTCTAATAAGTCCTTTCCTTGTGTGCTCATAAAATGGTTAAACATTATAGCAGTGATTCTCAAATTGGGATCCACAGAACGCAGAGTTCTCAAGTTTCCTATGAAAGCTTGTTACATTTTTCATTTCCATATGAAAATAACTAAATAAAACTTAATAAAATAATAATAAATAATAAAATAATAATAAAACTAAATAAAAAAAAACTAAAATACAAGAACCTCCTGAATCTGGTCAGTCACCCTAGAACAGTACTAACAAGCAATTCAAGTGTCCATACTTAAATTTGCAGTGTTGATGTAAACAGACCTTTTTTAACGGCCAAAGGTTAATGAGAATAGAATAGCAGCAAACTCAATGCATAAATGATGTGTTCACACCAAATGAAGCCCAAGTAACTTAGAGCACACCATAAAAGCAAAGGTTTTCCTACGGCTCAAATAAGGAAATATTGGAAAACCTGAATCATGGCAGAGTAGAGTTGTAGAGTCATGGCAACACCAAAGACTGTGTTTGTCCCAGTTGGTACCATTTGTATTTTGTGGGTAGCCAAAAAAGAGTTTTCAGGATAATGCTTAAAAATTGACTTTTATCGGTCTTATGGTTATGTTTAATTTTCATTCTGTTCTTAAGGAATTCTGTGAAGTCCCATTTTGTATTTGCACACGCATAAGTTATATAATAAAATTCATATAAGCCAACACTCCCAGTGTTGAAAAGGAGACTGTATAAGTTTAAAGTTTGAGAAAAATGCATTTCAAATACACTTAAAAAAATGAGAAAGCGGGTATTAATCCTTAACATATTTTAAGGGGCCTCAGAGTTGCAGGCGCAGCATCCGACTTAATACTTGTTCACTGACTGAAAAGTAGCTATGTGACTTTGGGCAATTTTAACTGTTTTTTACAGTAAAATGAGGACACTGATCACAAAGGTTTGCCCAACCTCAAGTGTAATATCCATAAAACTACTTTTGTAAATTGTTAAGTGCTAGATACATGCATGAAATGTACTAGTATTGCTGTTTTCAAGTGGTCTTTTCAGCTTCTTATAGTTCCTTGAGAGAAAGGACCCTTTTTTTTCAGTCATCTTTACATCCCTACCACACTGCATGTCTGCTGTTGGGGTCACCAGTATAAAAGGTAAACTGGGCCCCCATTACAACTACAAGTTTTCACTGCCTCTAAGAGAAACAGCCAAAATACCCTTTCATTTGAAATAAGAGCACAGTGACAGATCGCAATTCTGTTTCCAATCTTGTTAACACCAGGGTGTTGTGTTACTAGGACACTGGGTACTACTAAGAGTTTCCATTTGTTTCATTAAACTTTCAATAAGGGCTTTGTGTGTGTTTATATTCTTGAAAAGAAAGATTTAAGCTCATTTAAAAGGTAAAACACCCACAGAAAGGATTACTGCTATCTCCTAAGCTGGCAAGTTCTAAAAAGATGAGGACAAAATTAGTGTTCATATAAGCACAATTAAAATTCTCAGTGTCAAAATGCCACAGTCTGTCCCTATCTGGAGATGAGAATGGAGAAGTGCTAAGTAGACAAGAGGCTAGTTGCTAGAGAGGTTATCCAGAGAGAGAGAGATTAGATTTGAGAAGTGTCTTAAAGAGCCAAATTAGGGCAGGAAGGCAGGCAGAGTTTCAGCACAATTCTGTTATGAACCTGAAATTGGCCAGCCTATTCCTTTCTAACAGTGATTCAAGTTGCCAACTTTTGCTGAGTCTACTTGGGATTTCTTTTAAACACCGCTTCTATATTATCCAAGATGATTAGTGTTGTTGCAGTGATGGCAGGCACCTCAGGCTGTCTGCCCACACCAGCAGATCTGACATTCTGGTTGAACCCTGTCAGACTTCAAAACTATTTTTAACTACCGTGTAACTTTGAATTTTAAATTCTCCCTTAACAGGGCAACTATAGGTGAAGCTTCGCAGGAAAAGTTTACCAATTACAGGTGCTTTCTTGGAAAGATGTTGAATTAACAGTCATTCATAATGGAAATGTTTCGCAAGTAGGGAAACTGAGGAACACAAACTCCTGGAATCAAATCACAAGACCTGAATACTAATGACACCAGCACAGTCACACAGTTCTGCTTCCTATCCATTTTCCTCGTGTCCTCCGCGTAGTCTTTAAAATCTGAAGTAAAACATAGCTTTCTAGAGAGCGTCCTTCCAATCAAAACGGATTACACAATTCCGGTGCAATTTGGGAGAGGACAGAGTATAAGCCTGTCTTCTCATCAAAAGTTTAAAACAGTAAAATGTATTTCATTTGACCCCTCTTCCTCCCTCAAAATGGATGAAAAGACCCAGGAACCGGCATTTTAAGGAGAGCCGTCTATACATACACATATATATTCGATTTTACAGCAGGTGGAGGAAGAAGCAAAGACTGTAGAGAAGGGGCACGTTTTCCATGCTGACACCAAGAGAGAGGAGTCCTGGTTTTTGGAATCTGTTGGGGAACTTGAGGGAGACATCTCCAAAGAAACAGGGGTAAGGAGGGCGGCATCATTTAAATGTCCAGGCAATGGTAAATAAAACTAGCGAGGTTTTTGTATTTTGACTAAGTCCTGGGAACTCATTATCACAATTCTTTAAAAAAAAAAAATCATTTTGAGTAAATTTAAATAAGATGGCAGAACACCAGCTGAGGGGGTGGCGCTCCAGTGTTTTACCTTTCCCTCCCGAGTGGTTTCGGGTCGCACCCACCCTGCCCCGGCTGGTGGCTCGGCTCGCTCACAACTGTTTCCCATTACGGCCGGCAGCACGCCGGGGGACTCGCTTCTGCCACAGAACTTGGAGCGCAGAAGCCAGTGTGGAACGGGAACAGAATCACGTACCGGGAGAGGGAGGTTGGAAGGAAGAGCGCCGCGCCGGCCGGGCCCGGTGGGAACGCACCCCGCCGCGGGTCACGAACTTCACCCGGATTTAACTAACCAAGGAAAAGGGAGTGAAGCGGCACGGGAACTGGGCGAGGAGGAGGAAACTTGAGCAAAGGAGAACAGAAAGTGGCGAGCGGAGCGCAGCCTGGCCCCAGAACCGCTGGCTGCAGGCGGTCGGGCTAGGGGCCCCCATCAGGCGAGTCCGTACAGGGCCCCCCGACGTCCCCCGCGGCTCCCACCTGGCAGCGCCCTGGCCTGCAGCGGGCGGCTGGCTCGTCCCCGGCCTCTCCTCCTCTTCCTCTTCCTTGTCCCGGGAAGGGCTTCGGGGAGCGAAGAACCGGGAGAAGGTGTGCCAGGGGGCGCCGCTTCTCCTCCGGCCGCCAGACATCTCCCCGGTGCGGCTGCCGGTCCGGGGCCGTCCGCAGGGAACGGGTGAGGCGCTGTCCTGCGCCCGGAGCCCGGCGTGGCGCGACCCGGCGAAGGCAGGACGGATTCGGCGCGGGCTGCCGGCGCGACTCAGTCCATCCCCGGCGGGAGAGTCGCGGGTGCGACGCGCTCCCCGCGCGGCGGCTGGTCTCGCGGCGCGCCGGCTCCTCCTACCGCCCCCGGCTAGCCCGCCCCCGGGAGGAGCCAGAGGCCGCGGCCCCGCCCGGAGCTCGGGCACAGCTGTAGTCGGCCGGTTTCCCGCCCAAACGAGTTCAGGCTGCAGCAACCCATTTGGCTTTGCGCTCAGTTTTTACTCTGTAATACTGATGTGTTTTCTATTCGCCAGCCAGTGAGCGAAAACAGTACTCGGACTTTTGAAAGAAGTTGATGAACTAGAGTTTGTGAAAACACCTGGTAAAGTGCGGTATCAGAGTGCCTTGGGCTGTCTTTCAGCTAACAGCTACTCCAAAGATACTTTCCACCAGGGCTGTAAAAGAGGATACCCCAGGGCGGAGTCCCAGAAGTGAAGGTGGGGGCATAGGTGTCCTGTAGGTCTGTCAACTCATTTCTTGTTCAGCTCCCTTATTTGTGGAGTAACTTTCCCTAAACCCAGAAGCTCTTTAAATTTCTCACACTCCATATTACCTACTACTCTGCGAACCTCCTACAAAAAGGACACTCATCAAAAAACAAGTGATTTAAACATATTTTGTAGTCGTTACACAGACTTAACTGAAATCTGGAAACCAAATAGTCTTTAAGAATGCTAAAACAAGGACAGTCTAAATACAGTACTATGGAATTTCTTAGTTTTTTTTTTCATGTTTTACATACAGAAAGCCCTACATAATTAATGTATACATCCTGATGAGTTTGGAGATAAACATACACCCGTGAAACGGTTATTACAATCTATGCCATAAACCTCCAAAAGTTTCCTCCTGCCCTCTTATTTGAGAACACTTAACATAAAGTGTGCCTTTTTAGTAAATTTTTAAGTGTACAGTACAGTATTATTAACTATAGGCACAATGCTGTATAGTAGAACTCTAGGAATTTCTCATTTTCATAACTGAAACAAACAGTACCTTTTGACTAAGAGCTCCCTGTTTCCCCCTCCATTCCACTCTACTATGAATTTGGCTATATTATATTGATCATATAAGTGGTATCATGTAGTATTTGTTCTTCTGTGCCTGATTATTAATACAGTAGTATGGATTTTCTTAGTTTTTTTTGTACCCTAGTGGCTAGAACAGAAAACATTGAGGCCCCTTCACCCCAGGTGTTTTGTTTTTGTTTGCTTGTTTTAAGAATAAATTGCTCCTGGGACCATGTAGAAATCAGAGATATTTACAGAGATATCAGACATTTAAGTGTATAAAAATTGTATACAAGTAAATGAAATGCCCAAGGCAGTTTTGGCTTGGGGAAGGGAAGGAAGGTGCCTTGGGGGTCATCCCTCCTCTAACTTTGGGTGCTGGAGAAAAGAAGGTTGCTTATGAGTAAATTAGACATCTATAAGCCCCAGTCGTTTTAGCATCAGCTGGTGACAGTTGAGTTTCCCTGCCATCCCACAGCTGCCTCCTAGAAGCACTCCTGCCCCTACTAACTGCAGCAGAGCCCAAGGCACTCATCCGAATTTGTTCTGGCTTTGATTCAACCCACCAAAACTAAATCAGCCCAGTTTCCTTCAGCTTGGATTCAAGACTTACCAGTGCTTTCTCATTTGGAAATATTTCCTCCTCTGTGAGTCTGAGAAAATAGGAAAAAGCTAGAATAATACATAGGACAAGTAAAGTTCCCAATTCTTGCCTTATTATTTTAGGGGAGAATCTCCATTAAATGCCAACTTACTAGAAAGCCCGGAGAACATGAGAACAAAGAGAAAACAAAGCAAACTGTTCCCTCCAGCTAGAAGGCCCAGAGAATAATTTATCTCCCCAAAGTTAAGGGACTACAAGATGTATCCCCCATTTCTACTGTGAAAAGTGGGCCCTATACCCTAATGTCCACCCAGCGGGTGGATTGTTTGGGAAGTCTCTCTGGGGATAAAAGTGGGTTGGACCCAGCAAGATTTAGTACTGAATTATGGTTTTAACTACTAATAATAGTTTTCTAAGAGTAATTTCTCTGAAAAATAGCTCTCAAGGAAAATGCTGTCATATTTCCTCAATAGCCAATATCCTGCATAAGTGAGAAGGCATCAGAATCATAATGTGTAACATCTGTCATAAAAATTTTCTACAGTGTTGGTGAGGATAGTATAAGTAATGGAAATAATGCTACTGCTCATCCAGCTAGAATCTCTTCTATTGATGGACAGCTTGTAAAGCTATAAGATATTTTAGATGTTATTAAAGGCCCCTAAAGTGAACAGTTGGGCCAATTCACATCTATGATAGGTTTTTTTTCTCCAAAGCAACTACTTCATGAAGGAAACAATATCTAATGATACTCTAATCTCCATTCTGTGGTAGAACAAAGCAGCACTTTGATTGAACTGTAAATACAAATGGTGCCCTGCCTCCATTAAGGCAAACTTTGTCTATGAAAGATTAAAACCATAAAACAATGACACCTAAATTTTCATCGATTTGCTTTTCTAGAAAGTACTTATCAGTTTCTAGATAGCCTATATCCTTATATTCTGACTCATAACTTCTGAATACTAAGTTATTAGTATTCCTTGCATTAGGAAGTCTGTAAAAGTGTTGAATTTTAGAGTTGTGAGGATGTTAGAGATGAAAATTTAACAAAGTTGTCTTCATTCGATCATTCAGTTGTTCCACAGCCATTTAGTGAAGGCCTATGGTAGAAGCATATTTACTGTGAAGCCGACAAAGCTGAAGTCTCAAGGCCCCTGACTGGCACGGTCTCTTCCGATGTGAACTTGAGAATGTGATCACATGGTCATGTGTTTTTGTGAAATTTATAAAAGTAAATGTTTTAACTGCAATTGATTAAGACCACAGTTTCTTTCCACTTGGATTCCCACACCCCTGCCCCCAGGATCATACTTCTCCTAAAGTCAGTTGGTGTTGAATTTATTGGGGACATTTTGGCATCTTCTGGGGAATTTGAGTAGGAAATATATTTAGTGGGGTATATTTATGTGGTTGTATCTTCAAAATTTAGTTAAGTTATTGCTTAAATTTGTTTGTCTATTGTGCAGCTCACCAAGCATTATATCCAAGATGCAAGACCAGAGGTCCTATTAAGACACAAACATATCCTAAGACCTCTAACACTGAAAATATGTAGGTAGTAGAGGTGAAACAAGATTTGAAATGTATCAAAAGGGGACTGGAAAATTATTCCAATAATCCAAAGACAAAATACAAGAGGAAGAATCACTTCTAATTGATGTAATTTCTCTCATAGTAGGAGTATGTTCAATAATGCAGTATAGGGGCGCTTGGATGGCTCAGTAGGTTAAATGTCTGCCTTTGGCTCAGGACATGATCCCAGGGTCATCGGTATCCCTGCTCAGGGGGGAGTCTGCTTCTCCCTCTTCCCCCCCCACCACTTGTGCTCTCTCATTCACTCTCTCTCTTGAATAAATAAAATCTTAAAAAAAAATGTATAATGTATACAATTTTTATAATTGTAAATGCATGAAACTTTTTAAATGAAAATCATGTAACATAGAATTTATCAGAATTCTTCATTGTAGGGCACAAACCCATAGCAGCAGTACAGTGAGTATATGTGTGACAGTGTTACACGTTTACATAGCCCTTCCATCAATAATACACTCAACCAAATGTATAGAAAATGATATTAGAAAATCATCATCAGGGCGCCTAGATGGCTTAGTTGGTAAAGCATGTGATTCTTGATCTCTGGGTCATAAGTTTGAGCTCCATGCTGGGTATAGAGATTACTTTAAAAAAAAATTTTTTTTTAAATCATTGTCATATGAAAGTCTATCAAAGAGTATACTATAAAAATTAAAAAAGTGTTATAGAGGTATGCCAAGGAGTTAATGGAAAATACATTGGTTTTCTAGATTTTGTGATGTTTGTTTTGTTAGTCAACTTTTTAAAATTGGTAATTTGCATGATTTCTTTTTTCACTCATTTATCTAATTTTTATTCTTATTTTTAAATCATTTTTCTTTAAAAAAGGACCCCTCAAGTTATAAAAATCTTCAGATACCTCCGAACCTGGATCTGTCCCTGAGTACCAACTATATGTCAGACACATGCTCATTCTTAGAGATACAATGAATGAGTTAGATACTTTCCCTCAAGGAGCAAGTTTGATGGGGCAAACAGATGAGCAAAGAGGGTATAACAGGGGAAAGCTTTCTATATAGGATGGACTCCCATTATAATATAGAAGGTTCCAGGAAGGTTCAGAGGAAATAACTGTCAGTATGCTCTCTTCTTCTCTATCTCCTGTGGCCACCATGACTTCCACAAAAAGACTGCAATTCAGTAGCTTATTTGATACATGAGAAAACCTGAAGTTCATCATACTGTGATTCCCAAAGCATAAGCACTAAACTCCTCAAAAGTATGAGAACAGACTAAAAGTGCTGATCCCTGAAGCATTTCAACAAGGATGCAAGTGTAGTTTAGAAATGCTAAGCTTCTTTTTCTGAAAAGTCCACAGAGGGATAAGCTTCTGTATATATCTTAGAGCACAGTATTTACTGTGTGGCAGGTGGCCCAGGAATATTAAGACAGCTGTCAACATCAAGGAAAGCACCAGCCCATGAAAAGCAAGCAGATGGATTGGGGTACTTCACTAGCTGCCTCCTAGAATAATAGCTGTGCGTGGCCAAATGAGACAATGTCATGCTGCCCAGGGCAGCAAAAAGCTATTACTGGATGTAAGCGCTCAATTAGGAGATGGGGCGGGGGAATATCCTCCCCTTTCCTTTGTTTGCATAGCTCAAGTTTTCATTAAGAACCACAACAGCAAATAAGAAAGGGTGGGGAATGATGTTAGCATTTTTCATTCTGTTATATTCTGGTTATCATGGTTTGTAACATGGGAAAATGCCTCAGTCTTGCTGCTTCAATGAGAGCAGATGGTGAAATTTTTAAGTAATTGGTTATTCAGACTTCTAT